TATCAGTTGGCAACCATCTGTACACTGAATCACTACAAGAGTGAACTACAGGACCCTCAAAGAAGGAACGGGCTGTCACAACCTCATATAGTCTGCAATCTGTTTCCAATCCACATAGGAGGTTTTTTTTGCAGGAATCTCAGACCTGAGTACCCTTGCTCCAGCCTAGCATCACTGCAACTGCTCAAAAAGCAACAAGACAAGCATGTAGCATCCCCCAAAGACCCTTGCACTGCCTATGATCTACTCAATTCCATTCATTACTCCATGAATATTCAGGATTGATGAGGTTTTCAAATGGAAAAGAAAGATCAAACTTGGGAAATTAACTTGCTTGTCCTGTTGGTCACTTGCAGAGCAAGTTCCTGTCCCACAGGAACCCAGTCCCCTGCGTTCTTTCACACAGACTGTTCCTCAAAAGGGCAGTAATTCAGCATTTCAGGAAAAGTAGGCAAAATTTTAAACAGGTCATAGAGCCCTGCTCCAAAATGAATAGTTTATTTGTTTGCAAGTGAAACCAGCAGCTAAATAAGCAAAAGACAAGAACATAAGTAGGACAGGCAGACTGCTGAACATCTGCTCTAACACCTTTGCTGTTCATTATGCTTACTTAGGATAGTATTTATTCACTGACATTGGGATCTCTGAGTTTTCAACACAAGTCTGTATTTAATCTGCATATTCAAACGTATTAAGAAACAACCTAAGTTGGTTGGACTTTGACTGTTTGGGAAAGGAGAAACTTTCCTGATGTTACATTAAAAGTTTCTTCCAACTTAATCACACAAATAGCACAATTTAGTGAGCCAGGAGTCACCCCGAAATCTAAGGAAGCCTAAGGAATCCTTTACTCCCCACAGTACAACCCTGCTCAGGGTTGTATCTTTTGCTAATATTTATTCTATCCTCATAGCTATTATTTTGGCTTATGAATTCCAGTCTCTTACAAACTTCTTTCAGGCCCATTAGGTGCATTTCCAAGTGTGGATGGGCACTGCTGTCACCACCTCACCTCCCTACAGCACAACAGCTCTGAGAGCCAACTTATCAACACCTGTTTAGACGCGGATCTTGGGTTTAAAATACTGAGAACTGCCTCACAGCTCAGAGGTCCAGTTCCACCCCCAGTCTCAAGTACTCAAGTCATACCCTTGTCTCTCTGCAAGCCAGCCAAGCTGCGTCTCTGAACAGCCAAGCCTTTTGCACCCACCCAACCACTGAACAGGCTACTGCAGAAATCAGTTGGTTAGCACCTTCCTATAGTTTGCAAACACAACCCAGTCACAGTCAGTTTACGATTCTCTGTTGTCTAATAAAAAGTATATATATATATTCAGATAGTTCTCCTTTCTTGGAGATTTATGGCAGGCTATATAACCCCTCCTTTTCAGCCCAGCTAAAAACCCCAAGCTGCAGGTTTGCTGAGCTAAAAATGCTCCACTGACCCCACTAGCAGCTACTTGTCCCCGCCCTACCAGTTCAAAATCAGTTCTGAATATGGATATGCAAATTTCAAACTGTTCCAGCTTATGCACTTAGTGTTTTCTACAGTGATACTAACATTTTGCTATCTCTGCTATTAAGCATCTTGTGTCTCATCCTAGTACTAATCTTTTTGTTTTTATAGCCTCATATATTGATGGCTTAATCACCTACAATCAACTAAAACCTCAGGTCTTTCTCCTCCTCTGTCATTTTAACTACTCAGCTCAGTGTTATTAGTCACTAAGTGCACTTGGTACTAATAAGTTCTCATTTCTATAGCTCCAGTCACTTCCAAGGCAATCCAATTCTTGTGCAATACTCTGATCTTTCTCTGCAATGACACGGCTTAATGTCACGTCCTCTGCAAATTTATTCAGTGCACCCTGACAAGGTTTTAGTGTAAATAGTATTAATAACCAGCCCCAGAACAGGTTCTTAAGGAAGTCCATTAATGACCTCTTTTGTGACAGAGTCCAGCTCTCAGTCGTGTTGTAATTCTTTCCTTTCGCCAGGCCTTTACCTGCTTTCTACCAGATCTTATTCTAATCCTAATTCTTTACAAATTAACTACATTTACTGTAGTTCCAACATGGAAACTACTTAGTTACTAAAACACAGAGGTATTAGACCTGGAGCAAGTCCTTAGTTGATCCTTTAATTAAAAAGACCAACCTGCTATACTCCACCTTAGTCAAATCACAATGCATTCGATCCTGCTTTTCATGGGTTTAATTTTCCTTGCCTTCAAAATATACTAAATAAATCTGCGTACCAAGTTCACATCATGGATTGCCAACATAACCTGACCTTCCCCATTTCCATCTGCAACAAAAGCTGCCATCAGTGCTACCCCAACTCATCAATATAGTCCAAAACAGTTGATTTTAATTACTGCTTCTTTACAACTCTGGAAGGACTACTTGCACTGCTTCTCATTATGAGCCCATGGAGCAAGTTATGCCTTTTTTTGACCAGCTTGTGTTTGCAGAATACTCATCTCATTTTCCCTAAGCACATGCTTTTCAAATCCTGTATTTGAGGCAGAGGTGCTGTTTCAACCTGTTTACGTGATCCCTGTAGTACTTGGGTTTCAAATGCCTCCAGTGTACGTGGGAATAAAGACCCAGGGAATTATAACCCTCTCCATTGTTTGCTACTGACCTCCATTTTCTTTGCCAAATTAGAAGAGTGGAGGTGTTTTCAGCAGTACAGTGTTTTCTTGATCCCTGCTGTTTGCTAGGCTAGCCCCCATACAGTACGCTATCAACTGCTGAAACCTTTATTTAGTATTTCTCTTCCTCTGTATTACTGTGTATGGAAGCTACACCACTGATTTTCATCTTTCTCCTTCACTTCTCAAATTAAAGTCAACACATATGCCAACCTCAAACCAAGTCTATTAAGCCAAGAACGACTGAGATGGCACCTACATGTCAGGGTTTTTCCCTTCTCCGAGGATCTTCCAAGTAGGTATGTGGCAGACATCACAGCCACAAGCCACTTCTGCTCTATGCACTTCTGACCACTCGTGTTCTCATGTTAGAGCCTCAATGCAAATCATTGAGCTCGGTGAATATCTACACCTTCATGCAGTTTTGTAAGCCATCCTGGCTGTTATTGGTCTATAAAATGGTGCAGTCAAGAACAGAACATATGAGGTGTCCTGCTCCAAAAAGAACCCATCAGAACATGTGAGGTCTGCACCAGAAGCTTCAAACCAACAGCAAGAAACCTGTTGAAGCATACCTGTCAAACCACCAAGAAATCTCCCACCTCTACAGCCACCTTGTTTCACATTCATATAAACAATTTTATTTTTGTTGGAATGGTTGCATGATTGTTGCTGGAATAGAAGTATGGAGACAGAAGAGTACCCTAGCAAGATGGTGTGCTAAGAAGGTTTCACAGAGATGCTGCAGAAGGACTGACAGTGCTTCTATAACACACCACGAAAGCTTACCTGTTGTGTCTCTAATTGGTGAGGTGCCAAGTAGAGACATGCCACTTAGCCTGGGGCTACTGCAAGCACCAGAATGGATACCTAGTGTAGCGTGTGGCAAGCCAGGAGAGTCAGACCTAGCTCAACTCTGCAGCATTCAGTCAAAGCATCCCTTCCCAGGGAGACTTCATTTCCCTCGGTTCTCATTCAAGTTCATCTCATGAGCCATAATCAGTAGACTAGATCTTATCACTTCTCTATACTGACAATAACTTAGAACAACTTTGGAGTTTGAGAAGAGCCATTATTCCTGAGTAACTCTGCTTAGAAAGTACAGCAACTGTTCTTGAAGAAAGCCACTTATCCTGGAAGAGTGATTATAGCTTATTCCATAATAATATCTTGTAGAACTTCGTGTATAAATAAGGCCTTGATGAAAGATTATGTTCAAGGGAACAAGAGGGCTGTTTGAAGAGCACTGGCATTCTGTGTGACTGAAATTGGTCCAATCTGAATTCCAGCCACAGATTTCACCAGAAGGCTGTACTGAATTAGTCACTATTACAATTGTATGTATTTATTCAGATTTAAGAGAGTGGTTCTACACTGACCATGAGAGTCTCCTCAACCACCACGACTGATCTCACGCACAACAGATGGAATCCACATGCATGTGGTAAGATCCCGAGCAGTGCTGCAAGGTTTTACCTGCCAGCTTTTAAGTTACAAGGAGTTTCAACAAGTGAAGCATAGCCCAAAAGAATACCAAGGTAAATAACTGAAGCAGAGAAATCCCATAAGTGTTCCTGCAGCGTAAAAGAAACACTGCTCCAAAAGAAGCACTTGCACAACACAATGGAGAAAAGGGTCTCAATAAAGTATGGTGCAGACTCCCCAAGAACACTGCTCAGATAGTCATCATCAGTGTCACATCATGTTTAAATTAGCTTGTGTTTAATTGCAAGTTTACAAAGGAGCAGTTACACCCTTCCTGGCGCTGTACAAATAAAAGAGAGCTCAAGACTACACATCACAACATTGCACTTTAAAGTGAGAACCAAAACAATTCACTGGCTTGCTCATAATCATGACAAAAATCTTTGTAGTTCATAGAATCTCATGCTTGAGTACTGTAATAAGCATTCAATATCTCTAGGTTAGCAGCTTTCAAGCTGGTTGGTGGACACCAAGTGGTCCATGAAAGCTGAGGAAAGCAAGCATATCACTAACAGCTCAAATTTGCTCTTCTCGTTGGAAACTTTTAAAGGTCCATAAATCCAGAGAGACTGAGACATATGTAAAACAATGGATCCAGAAAGCCAAGGAAGACATGGGCAGTAATATGAGCTTATGAGATGCACTTCAGAAAGCCTAGGAAGTTCATAATCAACAAAACAAACACTGTTTGCAAGAGATTCAGGTAAACACTTGTGGCAGTCCAAAAACATTATTAGGAGTTGGGTTTTTTGGTTACCTCAAGCGAAATGCCCCAGGCAGTGAAAAGCCATCATATCCCCACTGCTGTAAGAACAGAACAGCCAAAGCAGTTGTATCTGCATGTAAAGCAAGCACTTACTCTGGTCGGCAAATCACCAGGTCCCCTTTGTTGGTGCCATACGCCAATCCCAGGCCTGGCTCAGGCAGCCAGCGAGCAGAGTTGATGCTGACATGTCTTCTCTGGTCGGCAGGCATTGGGTACAGAACATTGAACACTCTCTGGAAAGAATAACAGGAGATTACTTGATGGGACAATACAAGGCAGGAGAGCCAAGGAGGCTGAAGTACTGTTCAATCTCCCTGCAGCAGCACAGCTGGCCAACACGACTACAACACTTTACAGGATGTTGCAAGAACCCATGAATCCAGCAGTGAAAGTAAGCTAGAAATGTACATACATGTGTCCTTAAGTGTTTAACAGACTGACTGGCACACAGCTGTGGAGTAGAAGAAATTCTTCCCCTGGGAGAACATGCATGTCACTCAGTGGGCTGCCCAGTCCTTCTATTCAAACTAATTAAAGTGATGGGGACAAGTGGTATAGTCATTAGAAAGCAGGCGGGACAGCTGGGGCTCTTCTGGCCTTCACCTTTCGTCTCAACTCATTAGTGTGGAACAGGAAGCCAGCAAATACGTGGGGGCTTTCATGCATCAGAAAGTTTCCTTCAGCATCAAAAGTTTATTGTTGCTAAGCCAAGCTTTACGCAAAAATAATATACAATTCTCTCCTTTTTCAAACATTTAAACAGCCTCCTGACAATGTTTCAGAGTTTGACCAACCCCCACACCAACAGTGCATGGAAGAAAATTAAAACCCCATAGTTCAGGTCCCCTTCTGACACTATTCATTTTACCTGCAGTAAGGTAAGACACTGAAGAGCTGCTAAGATTGCAGGTAGTTAGCACAGCAGCAGCTGAATGAAATCCCTGTGCACATGAAGGACCAACAGCAAGCTCTGCTTTCTCGTCTGCACTAGCTTGGTTTACAAATCGTATGAGCTTGAAAAGCAAGAAGGTTGAAGTGGAGCATTATACCTTCAAGAAGCTAATGTCTTTCGTACGGCACAGTGCTTTCCTGCACCCTGACATCCAGCAACCAGAACTGACAACACTGACAACACTCCATTTAGCTAGAAAATATGACACATGTAGATCATGAAAACAAAGGTATAGGAAGTGGAAAGAGGGGTAGTGAATTAGTTTGGCTACCAGGATTAGGGACAAGCTGTGTCAGTGGACTGGGCCATCAGAACATATTCCATCAGAACCTTTCTGCCAAAGGGCAGAACTGAAGACTGCATTTACAACTCCAAATCATTAACAGAATTTCTGCAAAATTGATGTAGGATTTAAACCTGAAATCACTGCAGTTAACACAGACTTCCAATCTAGAGTTTCAATGGGGTAAGTCCCAGGTGAAAGATGTGTTTTACATTAGATTTTAATGGTGAGCAACCACCCACCCATCACAAAACTTATTTTCCAGACTCCTAAGAAAAGAGGATGGTGCTGGACTAGAAAGCAGGGAATGAAAAGAGGATGTGCTTGAACAACAGGATAAAGGTAGATGGGAATGCAGGTCAACTTCTGCACTACTGAGGTGGCCTGAAGTAATAATTAGAATTCTTGTGGGTGGGACTCATCAGCTACCACAACAAACTGGGGCTGTTTTTGTCTCTGTAGTTCTATCGCCCACCCCACATCTTGTGTTTGACAACCTGTCTGACGCAGAGACCACCTAACTGTATGCCCTCCAACAGCTAGCACCCAGAACCTTCATCTCAAACATCATAATGCAAAGTAAGTCAGAGCAAAACAATATAGCTACATTATGTCCTGTCATCAGCAACACAATTTAACCTCTCCTCCGAGGAGGCCACCACATTAGAGGAGAAAATGTCCTTAAGGATTTCTCTGTGTGACAGAAGCTGGTCACTCTTCACCCTGGCTATCACTCAGCAGTCAGTGTGTGCAGACAAGCTTGGTGTTTGGATGGAAGGAACAGGTCCTTACAAGTTTATCTAGATCTTACCCATCTTTATCATGGAAGAAAAAGAACTGGGAAAAAAAAAAGGATTAGATGTATGATGCTAACACCTGTTACCATGGAGATTACGGTGCACTCTGATGGGAAGACTGGATTTTGAGGAGGAGGAGGAAGGAGGGGAAAGGGAGGGGTCTGCCAGAGCTGGAAGCATAAATTCATAAAATAAGCATTCCAAAACTCCCAAGAACTGCAAGGGTTTTCCATCACATCCTTCTTCGGCAAGTCAGAAATGGCTCCTCTCCTCCTGAGAGTGGCATCACAAGGTATCACAGCTTGAGAAGCTGCCTTCTTGGCTAGCCACAAGCTCTCCTCCATGGGCAGGGCAGTTTGCAGAGCCGCTGTCCCACATGCTCCCCAAGCAGCCAAGCCAAGGGGGGAGACCTGCCTGCTACAGCTGAGTAAATAGCACCTCATGGAAAGTGCTGCCAAGGACACGGGTCTGGTTCTGACAACCTGCAAACATGTTGGCTGAGGGCAGAATCCCAGAGACAAGATGGCTTAACATTTCTGCGTAAGAATAGTCGCTTCATCACTCCACTCCATTCACTTCCAAACAGCTTGTCATGCTGAAGAGCTCCCCTCCCCTGCTGCTTCCCACTCCCACGCTAATGGGACAACTCCATGCAGTGTTAAGGGTGATGACATCCGTGCATGTGGTAATTAGTACATAAAAAGAGAAAGCAGCTGTACTGGCATAATCACCATTCGCAGCAGTAACCAGGACCCGGCTAATCAATCTGATGCAGTCATACAGACTGGCTCTGGCAATTGCATCCATTAGCAAGACCCCCTACTCTATCTGCAGATTAAAGTTTCTTCAACATCGGCAGGTCCCTCTCTTCAAAGAGGGTCAGAAGCCTGCCAGGAAGCATTATTCTCCATAGATCACAGCTAATTCCTCTTGGCTTTTTTTTCTTGTCTTTTCGTTTCCATTGCTAAATCGTACAAAAAGTTACTGAGCTATTTCAACCAAAGAAGCCAGGCTGAAAACATACCACAGAGTGACCACAACTCTTTGCCAGTGGGATTGTCCATGCTTTCTAGTTCTAAGCTTTTAGGATTAATATTCAAGTTATTACAGGAATCCTACACTAACATGATTCTCCAGCTTCTAGGTCAAGACATCGCTGCCAACCTTCAGACACTCTTAAAACTATCAATACACATGCATAAACTTGGTAATTCACCACTTCCCTCTGAATAGGTCCATAGTTGCAGGCCGTATGTAACATCCATATTGATGGCCAAGGCTTCAAGAACCACTGTTGTAGAAATCCACAAATCTTTAAGCTGCTCACCACACTGTACTACAGCCTCCTGAGAGTTTATTTTAATAGGGTGGCATTTTCATTTAGGAGAGATATTGTATTGCACCACACTTTATAAGCCCATAACCACTGCCAGTAGTCACAGCAAGCTTCCAGGCTCTTCACCACAACCAATGTCAAACTTGCTCTTACCATCCCTACACCACTGATTCAATAATACACAGCCACACCATTAGATGTGGTGAGTCAGCATTTTGTGAAGTTGGCAGTTGTGCTTGTTTACAGATGCTGTACTGAAATAGAGGTTTGAATGGCATGTTTCTCTAACTATAAACACTGTGAAGTCTGAGGAGTGGGAGCTTCAGAACATCCCTATGGAAGCTTAAGCTCAAACAGGCAACGTAAGTATAGCAAGCTGTTCTTTTCTTGGCAACAACAAACATTGAAATGTCATTTCAGCAGGCAAGAAAGGTCCTACCCCTTCCCTTCAGGGGATCCAACCTGGATTACACTGAACAGTTGCTTGACTTGTGCATATGTTTGTAGAAAACCCTATCTCGGGTGATCTCCCCACGCTACGCACACACTTCTGTCATTTCAGGGACTCCATCTCTCCTGTGAGTTCAGGGAATGTCAGCAAGATTAAAAAGTCGTCTTCTAGAAATACCAAAACTGACTAGGTAACCAAGCTTCCACACAAAAGAAGCAATACTCACTAAAGAAAGAGCTGGTTGCTTCCATTCTACATCCCTGTAATCATGAACTGTTTGGTTGACTAATTCATGTCTGCACTTCTCTCTTTTCAAGAAGAGCACTAGAAGCAACTACTTAACTCTTTGGCGTGCCTTTTCCATCCTCCCTCATCAGGAGTGGGCAGTTACATCATCTGCTGAACTCCCTAAAGCTCATTTCATCACTTCACAGACACTTCTTCAATGTTGAAGAAAGCAGAGAAAGCAGGGCTGTAAGGCATGTGCTGTGCAAAGGCCACCTCAAGTCCACTGCTGCTGCTCCCCCTCCAACTTGTCACTGCTGGCACATCAGTACTGTAGCACTTGTCACAGCCACCACTTAGGTATTAAACTTAGGTATTTATATTTACTTACAGCAGAGAGCTAAGGAGAGGCTGCATCACAATCAACAGCCTCAAGGAATCTTTCCCAGTGATCCCTTTCTCGCCTTCAAGCTGCTGTACTTACGTAGGAAGAAGGGGGCCCAGGGCACAACACTCAAGCACAGAGCTTAATCTGTACCTGCCCTGGAAGAGTAAGAAAACTTTCTGCTAAAAGCCTAGTTATTGACTTAGTGCTTCCCTTTTCCCCTCCTGCTCCGTCCCAGGGACGCTGCTGCTGTTTAATAAAGCTCTTCCATTTCCACCTCTCCCCTCCATTTCTGGGGGGTGCCAACATTAAAAAGCTGGAGAGAGCAATTGCCAGGATCCTGTCAGTCATCAGAGGAGCAGCAGGCTGCCCTAAGCCTCTGCTACTGCTGCCAGTTGGCAACAGTGCTGCACTGGTCCAAACAGCACCATGCTTGGCCAAAGCAGAGGCACCACGTCCTCTGCCCAGCTGTCTCTTTGCTCAAGGCCTTCCCACCACGAAGGAGAGTAATGAAAAGCAGGGGAGTGCTGAACATTACTTGTTTGGCAGAGTGGCACCTTTCTTCTCTCTGGCACATAAGAAAGAGAAAACATGTTTTGAAGCTGGAAGAGAAGAGAATGCTGGCACAAGCCAACATTCTGAGGGAAACTCAGCAGGAATACTTGCTTGTTATCTTTTTAAATTCAATGGAGACATTTCTGCTCTTAACTAGATGCAATGCCTTTCAAGATGCCAATACATTTCAAGCAATTACCTTTGCTTAGCCCAAGCAGTATGTTGGGCTCTTAGATTAGCCTTGATAAA